CACAGCTCAGCCCAGCCACGTGCATCCTACCGCTCCTGCATCCCAGCCATTCCCGATTGCAGAGCCTCTGACAGTTGACCTCAGTCTGAAGGGGCTTTGACTGTCAGGGGCTGACTGGTTGGTGACCACTGCCTGAAATTATATTAGATTTGTAAACATACATAAGGGGTGTATAAGTACATAAGGGGTGTGCATCAGGACCTGGGAGAATGTCTGTTCACCTGAGCGCCCCAAGGAAAAACAAGGACCAACAGTCACAAACTCCTCCAAGACTGTTTTAGACTGGACATAAGAAAAAAATGTCTTTACTATCTGAGCCCCCAAGACCTGGAATAGACTCCCTCCAGAAGTGGTGCAAGCACCTACTCTGGACTCATTCAAGAAATGCTTGGATGCTTACCTTGCTGGGATCATCTGACCCCAACTGACTTCCTGCTGGACTTGATGATCTTTGAGGTCCCTTCCAGCCCTAACGTCTATGAAATCTACGCTGTATGCATTTACGTTTTACTTTTTAGTAAGTGTTAATATTTTGAGCTAAGTTGTACATATACTTGGGAACAGTAGCTGAAGTAACTTTTTTTTTCTCTCCCTTCTTTACAGCAGTTCTGTGGTGTTCTTGGTCACACATTTATGGAGTTTCTGAAGGGCAGTGGAGACTACTGCCAGGCACAGCACGACCTCTATGCAGACAAGTGAACTGTAGAAATTCATTACTACTCCACCAAGAAGCCCCCCTAAGAGTGATTAACCAGGATAAGAAGTGTTGAATTGAAATTGGCAGTGCATTTTACAAAGGAGTTCAGACCTGGATGGGGTAAACCTCAGTGCACTGCCTTTCTTTTGCCTCAGTATTACTGGATTGAAGAATTGCTGCTTCTTGTTAGGAGGTTCATTTAATTTCCCATTGCTCCCAACTTCATACTTCCAAGCACTGAGAATTTCAAGTGGAGTATAGTGAAGTAGACTTCAGTTTCTCTACATCATTTCTGTATTAGAATTTTTTAATCCTTTCATAATCTTGTTGCATGTTTTTTAACTAAATTAATATGGCCCGAATGAACCGCCCAGCTCCTGTGGAAATCACCTACAAGAACATGAGATTCCTTATCACACACAATCCAACCAATGCAACCTTAAACAAATTTATAGAGGTAAGGTCTGGACGGAATGCTTTTTTTTTTTTTTTTTTAATTTTATTTAATACAGTGCTTTTAAAACCTAGAACAGTATGTGTTTTAATAATATATTTACTAATGGGATTCAGTTCTTAAGTGCTCTTCCTGTTGACTCAGGATTTGGGTCATAGTGATTCTTGCAAGCAGTGAGACATGTTTTACAGAATTACTGTACTCATGAAAATCATTCCTCTATCAAATTGCATCAGTATATTTCTTTTTTAATGAACCATAAGCATGATCATAACGGTACTATTACTGATCAACAGGTACAGGGCAGAAAGAGAATATGTAATCTAATTAAAACGACAGAACATTGACAGGATCACAGTTAACTTGCATTTATTAGGTTTTGTTAATTAATGATCACTCAATTCTTTAGTTCTGTCATGTCTTCAGCAGCTGATTTTTACTACCATTAATCCATAAAGATGGGGAGAGAAAAGGGAAATATATTAAGACTATCTGGTACTAATTAGATGTGACGGCAAGTATTTGTTAGGTATGCAGAAGTCTAAATAAAGCTAGTTTGGCCATCAGCTGTAGCAGTGGAGCTACAGTAGTTTTAGAATTCATGTGACATACACAGACGTATCTGGGACTCCAACTATGTTCATGCTGGCTGAAATCTGGCTTGGCACAAGTTCACATTTGGTATTGGAGCCATTTTAAACCAAAATTAACTTTGAGGCATCTAAATCTGTTTCAGTTGCATTTTTGAATAGCCTTGTAAACATGGCCTGAGATCTACTTTTGACATTTGGGTTTCCCATAGAAGCTTTCCTTTGTGCTCTTGTAGAGGAAACAAGAAAACATCCAAAAGAATCACTACACAGCAGTGGTTCCCAACCTTTTTAGACCATGGAGGGCAAGTGACTGTGGACTAGCAAACTGAAGTGACCGGCATACTGCGGAGCAGCAGCCAGCCCTTTTTTATTCTCAGTATAAATAAACAAAAGGTTGGCTGCCCATCTGCAGTATGCCGGTCACTTCTGGACTTGCGGTCCAGCAGCCAAACCTTTGTGGCCCGGTACCAGGCTGCGGCCAGGGGTTAGGAACTTTTGCTACACACCATACAGTGTGTGTCACTCGTGCCTTGCTTCAAAAGACTAATAATAATTACTATGGATTGAGTCAGACTTGTGTAGTAGGTATTAGATACGCAAATAAGGCAAGCTTACTGCAGTGTGGTAGAGTGATTGTTTAAACTAGCCAGCTTGAGTGCTGGTAGCAGTCTAGTCATGGTAGCACATAGTGTGCTGAAGCAGAGTAAATCTAGCTTGCGATGTATTTTGTGCTGCCTCAGCTGAACTGGTGTTACTCGGGCTTGGTATTGGCCAAGGGTCAGCATCGTCTTGCTGTCACAGGCCACTACTTGCAACCCAGCTCCTGCCACAGGCTGCAAATCTCTACAACTCTGGTAATTAGTGGATGCTTAGGACAGAATGAGGCAGCCAGTAGAACCCTGGGGACATCTCTGCTTCCCTAGCTGCAGAATGCTGCCAATTCCCTGAGTTGCCACAGGCAGTAGGTTGCTAACCCCTGATGCAGACAGTCTTGTTTTGATCCTTTGCACAGGAAGCTTTTGGCTGAAGAATATAAATCCCAGATCCCAAGAGTTCCTATTCATGTATTCTAATAGAGAGAGAAAGAGAGTGCCATCCTGCCTAGCCTGTGCCATAATAAGTAGATAAAGCTCTTATGCTCTTGCCTCACAAAATCATAAGAACCAGTTCTGAATAAAAATAAAGACACCCTTTACCAATTAAAGGGTTGGATGAATCTCTGGATTGGGCTCACAGACCTGCACCCCACATGCCAGATCCAATGCATGTGGCACTCGCTCTTGGCTGGTCCAGTACTATGCTGTGCATAGGGACAGAATAGGCCATGGAACAGATCCTGAGTCCCGGGCTTTATGCACTGGAATGAGCTGGGGAATGTCACATGATGTGGGTTAACTCAAAAGATGCAGGGACAGCGTGGTCCAAATGTGACCTGTATGCCTTATCTTTGACACCCCTCAATTAAAGCTAAGACATCCCTTCGTCTTCCGTTCCAGACACTGACTATTATGGGGGGCTAGTTAGGATTTTTCTTGAGTTTCATTTTTGTAGTGAGTGGTGCTCAAGATCCCTGTCCTGATAAGAGCCTAAATGTTAAGCTTGCCTTATTTGCAGAACACAAATATAAGACGTGACCAGCAGTAAACTGGGCAATTATACCATGTTATATAATTGCACAGGCTAGTAATGTATGCAGCTTGTCTGTTCCAAAATGCTTAGGGTATTTTTAAAAGTAAAAATACTTACAGAATCATAATGGCAGTGATGCATTACATCTCTATTTCCATTACACTTCCAGGGGAAAAAATGTGATTTAGCATAGCTCCTAACGTGCCACACGGAATAAATAAACACAACAATGTTAAGATCCTTTTAGTAATTTGGAAGTATTCAGTGAAAAATCCTGCTAACTTGATGATCAAGTAAACTATTTTGGCAGGAGGCTCTTTGAAAGGTACAAAAAAAGTAGATGACCATTTTCTTTTGCTAAAATACAGTTTGTTGTGCTCTTTTTAGAGTCATGCTTAAAGGTCCCTATCAACATTATGCCAAATGCTGATAGTTTACCTCTTGGGGATTGAGCCCCAAAATCTTTGTGCTTCCCGGACCTCCGCTGGGGTGCATGCATCAGCGGGAGCCCTCCCCATGTGTTTGGACAAGCTACCCAGGCTTTGATCCTCCCCTGGACCAGCCAGGGCCTCATTCACCCTGTGGCAGGGGACATGGTGCGTATAGGCAGAGGAAAGGGGTGGCTAACAGGGCTTAGCTCCCATCCCCCCAGTGCAGGGTAGCAGTAGGGCTGCAAGGCAGCCCGGCTGCAGGATTCCAGTGGCTGCAGCAAGAGTAGGGAGGGGTGCATTCGCAGCAGTGAAAGAGAGAATGAGGCAGGGGGAAGGTCCTGCACAGCTGGGGCACACGCAGGACAGAGCCACAAGCGGCTTGTCCAGGGGGCTCAGGGAGGGGAGGCATGCAGCCTGGCAAGGCATGGGGGGCGTATGCCCCCAGATCTACACACGGGGCAAAGCGGGCTGGACCCAGGGCAGTGCCAGGCTCTTCCTGGTACAGCTCTTCAGTTGCACAGCTCTTGAGCCGGGCAGCGGCAGCGCTGGGAGCAGGGCTGCAGGCACCTGAAAATTTGCTGTAGCCCCCCACCGCCTGCTCCCAGTGCTGCAGCTGCCAGCACCACTGCCACCTGGCCCAAGGGCCGCGCAACCAATGAATCATGCCGGGAAAAGCCTGGCTTGGCCTGGGCCCACTTGCAAATCTGGGGTCATGTGCCCCCTGCGGCCTCCATACAAGCTGTTCGTGGCTCCATCCTGCACCTGCCCTGCCTATGCAGGGCCTGTCCCTGCTCATTCCCTCACTCACCGCTGAGGCGGAGGGCAGATTGAGGCAGTGAGGGAGAGAGCAGGGCACAAGTAGGAGCAGGGGCTGGGGAAGTGGGGGTCAAGCGGAGGCCAGAGGGACAATGTGCCTTCCAGGCCTCCACTTGCCCTACCACTGGGCCCAGCCAGACCCACTCCACCCAGCCCCTACTCCTGCCTGTTCCCCGCTCCCTCCCTCACTGCTGGGCCCTCAGTCTGCCCCCACCACCCCCAGTCCTTTTCACCCACGGACTTACCTGTTGGGTGGGGTGAGTCCCCAAATAACTTTTTTTCCCTCTGCTTCAATCTGCCCCCTCCATCTCTGCCTGCAGACTGACCTTGAGGGGTGGGGTGGTGTAGGGTAGATTTTGGGTTGCTTTTTAATTCAAAAAGTGATCTACCCAAAGAAGTTGGAGACCACTGTACTACAGGATAAGCTTATTAGCTGCTAAAATGACAATACATTGATTTTTACTGTTTGTCTAAAATTTGTTCTTTGAAGGCTGACTGAGAGAAGTGCAGATTCCTGCGAATAGGTCATTTTTAGGGGTACTTCTTGGTCTGTAACTTAAATCTGGTCATTGAAAGAATTTGCAGCACCAGCAGTGTACTTGGACTTCAGCAGTGCCAGGAAGAGAGCACTAATTTGAAGAAACTTTTTTAGAGGTGAAACATTGAAGGCTTTTGATGTTATTTTGGTGTATGCTTGAAATCAGCATAGCAGCTGCATTCATAAAAACATTGCTTACTAGTTGGAAGACTGTTGTCTGGGTTGGAGGGAACCTTACTGAAACTTTGAAACCTATTAGTAAACTAAAGTGTAGGAAGTACTTAGGTGTGTCCTGCTGGGAAAGCCAAATGGTAAAAGTCAGGGGAACGTAGAAAAAAATGTCTTTTTCCTCCTCAGGAACTTAAGAAGTATGGAGTTAGCACAGTGGTGAGAGTATGTGAAGCCACTTATGACACAGCTCCAGTGGAAAAAGAAGGCATTCAAGTTTTGGTGAGTGATCTGAAAAATTTGCTTGGAAGTTCTTTATAGTGTTATATAGCATTTAGTAGCTCATAATGTCTTTGGTAAGGTCTCAATTTGTCTGAATTTCTAATGCATTTGTCCTAGATGTTTCTAAATGAACGTTATTTTGGAGAAAAAATGGAACCTAAGCAATTGAAATATCACTTTCCAGTTCTTAGTTTATTATCTTGAAACCCAGTATTCTTGCATACAGTACTTGTATCCTGAGCATCCTTGTAACAAAGATTTTATAGCCATCTGCAGTCTTCAGTAAGAAAATTCTTCTAATTTTTCCCACCACTAAAGTTGTTTTACCTGTGCAGGTGCTTACAGTTCTTATCATTACAGTTTTACTTGTACTGTGAACAGGTAACCTTTATGTTGAGCAGCTTTACCTCTGAAAACTTGTTTTCATATTGGAAATTCAAGGCTTATCTAACCTCTTTGCTCTGAAACCCTGCGTTTCCACTTTGATAGGGAAAGCTTATTAATGGAAATGTTACTTTATCTAGGGGCTAAACTTGGCCTAATGATTTTGAGACACATCTTATGGCAGTAGAAGTTCCCTCTTATTGGAATAGAAGTGATTCTTCTGTGTAAGTGAGAGGTAGGATTTGGGGAGCCACACCACACCACACCACACCACTTGTATGAAGCCAGCTCATGAAACTCTCAAGGACCGTGCTTACATGAATTCTCCAGCATTTCTCATGCTGATTCACTTCCTGAGTGGTTCACTGATGGGAAATGCCTCCTAGCACCAAGTAAAAGTATTAAGTAGATCTGAGCAGTGTTATATCTGTTGAAGTGCTACAGATTTCCCAGAACCCTGTGCTATACTCGTTCTTCCAGTATTGCATGACTTCAGCTTGGATGGAATAAGTAAGTGCCATGGGGTTCTGCCCACATTAGTAGATGTGAAAAGGCTCTGAGCCAGATATTAACTGTAGAAGAGACCGTTCTCTACATAAAAACTGTCAAGAAACAACCACAACATCACTTTTTGCCACAGCTTGAAACCATGTAGCAATGACAGAAAGATTGAGAACAGCTGCTCTTGGCAGTGCACCTATACTGCCCAGTCTTGCCTGTTGAAATCCCCTAGTGTGGAGTCCAGAAGAAGCTCCTGGCCAATACAGCCACTGGAGGCGAGATGGATGTATTTTAAGTTGATAAATAAGTGTGACAGGTATGTTCCATGAGCCCCTATACAGCCTCTGCTGGGTACATCTGAAAACCTAGTTTCATACGTTCATGGTTAAAATGAGGCATTACTACAAGGACTGACAGAGTTTAGTTAACATTAATTAACATTAGTTTCATGGTCATTTTAAAAAAATGAGCTGCCACTACATCTCTAAAATAAATTTCTAAAACTGCTGCTTTTACTCCTAGCCCTACTGTCATTGTATGTATGATATTTAACCTCCTTAATAAAAGTTTGTATTCTGGTAAGCCCTGAGCCTAGTGTTCTGGCCACTGAAATGTAACTGTCCATAAAAAGATATATGGTGCACTTTGCAGGAGAATAAAACCTGCATCTGAAGGTTTGTGAAGCTCCAGGTTAACAATTATTGAATCCCCAGAACTAATAGAATTAAAAGGAGAAACAAAGGTACTATTGTTTGATAGGGAGACTTCTGTTCAAAACTAGCTAGACTACTCAAAGGAAATTACATCTTTCAAATTAATTCCTTTAAGTCTAAGTGCAGTAATTCTAGGCTTTCTAAAATGTTAAATGGAGGGAAGAACAGCAGCTGAGGAGAAACCACTTTATTTTTCTCATTGTGTTTGGTACACCAAGCACTTGTGGAATCCGTGTAACTTTATTTGAAGTTATTTGTTTATTTTGAATGCTAGGATTGGCCTTTTGATGATGGTGCTCCACCATCCAACCAGATTGTTGATGATTGGCTAAACCTTCTGAAAGTGAAATTCCGTGAAGAACCTGGCTGTTGTATTGCTGTGCACTGTGTGGCTGGTCTTGGGAGGTGGCTGTTGTATTGCTGTGCACTGTGTGGCTGGGCTTGGGGATGAAGTGAAGTTCTAAAGTCCATCAAATAACTCTTCAGAACTAGGATTGCTTAGGCTTTTAAAGTTGTTTGGTATTAATATTTCTCTTGGAACTTACAGGTTGGGCATGTAGGACTTTGTTTTATTCACAAGTTGTACCAAATTGAGGTAGGGTGTGAATTGAAAGTGAATAAATATGACTGAGTAACTCCACATGTAAACAAGTTCTAAGTCTACTAGCTAAGGTAAAACATTTGGGGTTTTGTCCTAATAAAATTATCAATACTACAATTAAAATGGTGGTAAGGAAACACTTGTAACCAAAAGTGTTGCTGGGGGCAGCAACTTCTTTGAATTAATTCTCTTCACAGAATTATGGGCCTAGAAATTAACAGCTGTGTAGAATAGTTTTTTTAAACGAGTTGGCCTACAGTGACATAATTGAAACAAATGTTAAAACCATGTAAAAGTTTATACATTTCAAGATGGTTTTGCAGAAGCTTAATGTCTTGAAAACCTCAGCATTGCTGATTATCTTGAATGATTTTGCCCTGTTGAACGTTATTTACAATTGTAGCTATCTTGGGACAAATTTGACTTCTTGCATGTTCAGTACTAAAGACTTCTCCTTTTCTACCAGAGCTCCAGTGTTAGTTGCTCTTGCATTGATTGAGTGTGGAATGAAATATGAAGATGCAGTGCAGTTTATAAGACAGTAAGTATAGAATTGGTGTCTGTATTTGTTTAAATTAAAAGACAGAGTTGTTCCTTGGTCATACAATCCGTATTTATCTGGGTATTATCCAAGAATCTAGACATGGAGTGCTCAGCCTCTAGCTCACGGGCCAAATGTGGCTGACTGAGCCATTGCATCTGGTCCACAGGGCTTCCCCTGGGTCAGGAAATTTTATCAGAAGAGGAGCAGTGGCCATTTAATACAGCCACCCTCTCCCTTTGCAAAATTTCCAAGGCCCATGTGATCCGTTAACCAGACTGTACTCCCCTTCCCCCCTGCTCTGGGCCATGCCCCCTTTTCTCCATGGGGTGGAGTCATGCCCCCTTCCCCCTGTGGGACTGATTTTAAGGCCCCTCTCCCCTGATAAGCGATGCCCCCTTTGCCCTTTCCCTTTGCCTTCCCTACAGGGCTGGGCTTCCCCTGCTGCTACCAATCCCCCCCCACCCCCCTCGGGGCTGAATAGTGCCTGCTGTGCCAGCCCCAGACACTGGTTTGGAACTGGTTCATGGTCAGACCAGGCACTGCCCATCTGGCCTGCCAGGGTAAAAGTTGAGGACCATGGATATAGACAATAAAACATATGGTGATTAGGCTTCTAAGCGTTTTGTTGCATAATTGACTATCTAAAATGTTACATTTAATATTGCAAAGCTACACTGTCAAGTTTCATGGTAGTGACATTGAAAACCTTGTCTCTACAATTTCGTACTGATATAAAGTTAAGCTAAATCTGGCCTCAGTCCTGGGAGTGAGATGAATGAGATTCCTATCATAAATAAGGCCCTTGTGTATAAGCAGCCACGCAGAGCCTATATTCATGAGTCGTAAGTCTGAAAAGGCCAAAAAACCCTAAAACATTTTCTGTTCCTGTCACTTAGGAAGAGACGTGGAGCCTTTAACAGCAAGCAACTTTTGTATTTGGAGAAATATCGTCCCAAAATGCGTCTGCGTTTTAAAGACTCTAACGGTCACCGAAACAACTGTTGTATTCAGTAAAGCCAGGCTGCCTGTACTGCTACTTTGGAGATAGAGGATGGAGACTAGAATTGGGCAGATTACATGCAGAAAGATGTCTGGTAGCTTAAGGAGGCTTCCTTAGGAGTACTAATAGACCAAATGCTTGGCAAAAATGCAACTTACGTTTAGGTTAATATCCATTTGTTGGAGAACATTTAAACATTTTTGTTGTACCCAAAAGGTCTACTTGTTCATTACTTATCAGTTGAACTGTCCTTGAATCATGCAACTGAGTCTTTCTTGTGTATTTCCCAATACTAAAATCTGTCACTATGACATAGATTAGGTGCCAAAATGCCCAGAACAACATACAGATTTGTTTCTTTAAACTGTAGTGTAGTCCTTGTGATTCAAGAACTACCACCTGTCCAGATCTTACTTCATCCTTTTTCCTGCAATCATTTCAATATTGAGAATAGGGCCTCTATGGTAATCTGCCTGCTCACTGTATGTTTGTCTCCCACAATCGCACTAGACTATCAGGATTTGCACAATCTTTGATTTTACTACGACTTACAGTGATTTTCAGTGTCTGTATAACTTTCTGTTATCTAAACCTCTGCATTTTACAAATATCATTAATCTTCTGGTTTCTCATGTAGAGAATAATCCTTTACATTGTACAGAAGCACACAAGTCTTTAATGTCTCCAGACAAAAAGCCTTACAGTTAAATTAATGTTGGCACTTGATGTGCAACTTAGCAGAGGGCCTGAAAAGGTTGGGAGGGGCTATTTAATATTTCTAGTAAAATGTTGCCTTTGTCTTGTGCAGGAAGTATAGAATATGCCCTTTACTTTAGTAAATATTTTTTTAAAATGTAGAAATGCTTTGTTATTGTTGCTAAAACAATTCTTAATCATAAAATTTCTGAAGATCTTGTAATTTCTTTGACTGTACCTATTGAAAGTTGTTTACCAACTATTGCTTTGTTGAAAGTGTGATTTATTTTTGGTTTTTCCTTGAGTTTCTGCAATGAACTGGGCAGATCTCTGTAATATTTTGTATGCCTTTTGAGCTGCGTAACTTAATATTTGGATACTTGATAATTTTGTTTTATTATGTAATTGATAAAATGGTGATGTGTATTAATGTTAGTTCAACCATATATTTATACTGTCTTGGGAATGTGTGGTTATAGTTCTGTGGGAGAAATAATTTTGCCAGTGTTCACCAGCTTGTAAAATCTAGTGCGAGAGCTTAAACATCTAAATAAAGACTGAAATGCACTTACTGAGTTTGCTGAAGCACTTACAGTGGCTTAATACTTAATGGTGTGCTCAATCTACAATCTTATATGTGTACGCAGGAGCCTAACTTAAAGAACCCCCTTTCTTTCTTGGTCCAAATGTCCCCTCTCTTGTGACATGGTAAGCAAAATAAACATACACATTACAGAAATACTGTATACAGAATTTTGTGACAAAGCTTTCGACTGTTCTGGCCTGTCTGGCTGCATCCAGACAAGCACGACCGTGCGGTATGTGGTCCTGCAGACACATCTGCAGCGCCACATACTGCACATTGTCGTTCTCCACACTGCAAGGGAGCATCCGGGGGGGGGGTTGACCCCTAGATATCTAAGGGTCAGAAAAACCTGGAGAAAAGGCAGAGCGGTGCATGCATGGGCAGCAGTGCATGCTGCTCAAAAGCAGACCCGAGCCACCTGGAGCCATGCTGCAGCTGCTGGCCAGGCTCCATGCAGCAGAATCACCGCTGCTGCAGCCCCAGGAGGCCCCCCAGGACCCCAGATAAGGCTGCTGGGGTCAGCCCAGTGCTGGCCCTAGCTTCCCCTACTGCCCCTGGGATAACTTGCCACGTGCCAGTGGGCTCATGTTACAGGCGTTCTCCAGGGACAACTAGCAGCAGTGCAAGGTGCACTGTTGCTAGTTGTCCCTGGGGAATCAAACATCTGCACCATGTGTGGACGCAGCCTCTTTCTCATAAACCATAGCACCCTGGAATGCCTTAAGATCCTTTCAAGGGTGTCGTGATGTTAGCGCTTAGGTGTACAAACATGATTCACATGATAAACCTAGAGATTTCAAATAGGAATGCATGGTGTTAAAAGTATTCTGTACTGATCTTTCTGAATGTTTTGCAATGGTGTAACTTCCCTGCCCCCCCCCCCCAACTTTACTGAGTGATAAACCAGAAAGATCAGTTTCAGAAAAGGTTTAGTTTCTTTAGTTCAAGTTGAGCTTAAAATAGCATTCTATTTCAAGTAACCATTGAATTTCAAAATACAGGATTAGAAAAGTAAGGCTAGAAGGGACTTAATGAGAGCTTTGCACTGGGCTTTGTCCGAACTATCCACATCCTTGAAGTGGTGGAGCTGAAACTGGACTCAACACTCCTGGTGAGGCCTTATACATGCTGAGTAGAGCAAAAGAATCACTTCCCTTGATATGCAACTGATGCCGTTAGCTTTTTTTGCAACCAGAGCACACTACAGCAGACCACAGGCTGACTGAGCTAGCAACCCCTGGT